TCTTCCTTTTTTCTTACACCTTACCTACTAAAGGAGGAGTTCTTGATGGGTAAGTGGATGCTATCTGCCAGACACCAGGGAATTTATTAGAGGTCACTCAAGCGCATTAGCTATATCTTCTTCAGGGGGAAAAAAGCACACAAAGAAATATCTGTATATGTTTTATTTCCAGAGGGATTTTTCTTTTTTCCCCTCCCCCTTCTGTTTTTTTTCTTTTTTCCCTTTTTTTTTTTTTGCTTTCAAAGTGATAGGCTTGTTTATTTTCCAGTTTTTACTTTGTACAGAAGCCCTTAATTAGATTTGATTTTTCTTTCCTTATTTTAGTGACACTTATTCGGTCACTTTGTTAAGGAAGCTTAAAAATTCACTCCTTTAAAATTTTGTTTTGTTTTGTTTTCTTCCCAAGGATTACATAAGGGTTTTATAGGTATACGCCCATTTCTTTTTTGTTTTGTTTTGTTTTGTTTTGTTTTTACTCCCACCTCTTTAAGGTTAAATAAGGGCTTTGTCTTCTGTTATACCTTTTTCATTGAGTTATTTTGATTCTTTGGTTGCCCGTTTACTTTGTTGAACTCTTTGGTTTAACATGAATCGCATGCTGATACTCTTTGCATGATCTCTAAAACTTCCCGTTATCATAGCAGGGGGAAAAGAAGTTTCTTCTTACTGTGGATTTCTTTCAGAGATGTGTGCTTTTGTTTTCTTCTCCTCTTCTTTTTCTTTCTTTCTTTCTTTCTTTCCTTCTTACTTTGTTTCTTTCCTTTCCTTTTGTTTCAGTGCATCATGATGGTAACATTTCTGGGTTTATTTAAAAAAAAAAAAACCTTTAAAAAAAAAAAAGCAAAGTAAAACCAAAACCAACCCCCCAAAAACCCGTTCAAACAATGCCAAATGGCTTTTTTGCTTTCAGATCTCTCAGTCAGGGTCTTCTGCTGACCTCTTTACCAAAACAGACAGCCCGCCTGGCATCCTAGCCAGCCAGAATGGAGAGTATCATGAATATGACTCAGGAAACGATACTTCCTCCCCTCCCTCCACTCAAACGAGCTCATCCAGGTCAAAGGACAGCCAGGAGAAAAGAAGTCTAGTCCATGATGGCTTTGGCCATGCCTTCTCGTCCGGGAAGCCCAAACTGGCCAACAGCGATAACAGCTCTGATTCAGGAAATTCCTTCACCAGTTGCTTTTCCCACACCAAGGGAACAGCTTTGGAAAATCTGTCTCCAGATGCCCAGGGACAAGACCGAAGGTCAGTGATTACCAGTAGCTGCTGCTGGCAGCCAAATCCCTGGTACCGTGTTGCTCTGTATCTCCTGCCCGCTTGCCAGTCGCAGGAGGTGAGCCGGCAGGGAGGTTTCTGCGGTCTGGAGGCAGTTAGATATAAATCACACCCACGGTCTTGCCAGTCTGGAGTCCAGAACCCAGCAATGACCAGTGCAGTAGCCTGAGGAGGAGGAGGAAAGCCCGGCCAGCAGACCCCCGGGCATTGCCTGTGCCTGCTCTTCTGGAATTCAGGTGGCTAACGCGGGGTTTGGCCCTGGGTCGAGCAGTTTCCTGAGCATCCTGCTTGGCTGGATGCGACCATGTTAGAGAGTCACTGGCCCTTCTGGGCGAAATCTGAAGGTGCATCAGGGGGTTGCCGTGCTAATTCTCCCCCTTTGCTTTCTGTGGGGAAGGAAAGTGGGCTTCACTCTCATTAAAACCATTACGGGCTGTTCTTTCACCTGTCCAATGAGCCAAATCCAGCCTGCCCCTTCCCCAGCTCACGGAGGCCTGGTCCTGGGTGACAAGACAGCATCTCTGGCAGGTGGGGAGCGTCTCAGGGAGGGGGCAAGGACTTGGTTGGCTGGAGGATAACACAGCAGCTCTGTGCTGCTGAGGCCACGGGGCAGGAGTCGAACCACACCCTGGTGCCACAGGTCATCGTCAGGAGAGGGAAGCAGACGCCAGCCTCCACCGCCGCCTCCCGTTCCTGGGGGTTTGCCGGGTGACGTTGGGGATGAAGGCAGCAAAGTGCCGTGGCTCAGACCCGAGGCTGCGCTCGGGCAGTGGTTTTAGGGCGCTCCTCCAGCTCCTGTGTGAAAGGCTGAGAGCTGGAGCCAGGATGGGGGTGGGAGCACTGAGCGAGAGAGGGCAAGGAGCTGGGGTTATTGGTGTTAGCGAGAATGAGCCCTTGATTTTTCAAGGTAGAATTCTGGGGCTGTGTATGCTCTTCCCGTTATGACTCCAGTGGGATAACTCTGCCTTCACAAGGGTGGAGCTGGGATTGCAGCCGGCCCTGGCTGTTGGCAGGCTCCCGGGCTATGACCCCAAGTGCTACCCAGGCCACTTCGTGAGGCAGAGGAGTTCATGCAGCCCAGGCCAAAGGCAACAAGACATGCCCAGTCAGTGCCCGCTCGTGCTGCTCCACAGCCAGGCTGAAGCACAGGCCCTTGCCCTGTCGTGCTCTGCCTTTTTCCCCCTGCTCCAGCACTTCTCACATCACTCCCTCCCCAGGGCTTGCACTACACGCTGCCCTCAGCCCCGGCTCTGTCAACCAGACACCTCTGCTGCGTGGGGCAGAAGAGCTGCCTCACCCCACCTGGGACTTCTTCCACAGCCCTTCCCTGGCACAGCCCTGAGGGTGAGCTCTTGAGCTCTCACCCCTACACAAAGCAGCTCCTGCAACAGCAGCCTGGGGAGCTGGGAGGTCTTTTCTAGCCTCAGTCGGGGAATGGGAGGATGGGAGAGTATGTGTTGGCTGGAGCGTGCTGCTGCCCTCAGCCGCGGACTAGTCCCAGTTCCGGCACAGCTTCAAGGACTGTCCAAATGTATGTTCCCAGAGGGTGCCTGTCCTTGTGCCTCGGCTGTTCGGAGGAGAAAAAGCGAAGCTTCCTCCCGTCCCCAACGCACAGCTCCCCGCTGAGGCCGTGTTCCCGCAGCGAGTCGTACACCAGCACGGACAGATCCTCCCCAGGCTCCAGCCGTTCCAGCCGCTCCCGCTCCTCACGCCACAAGGCCTCCCCCAGGTACTCCCGAAGCAGGTCCTGCTCTTCAGGAAAGAGGTAAGGCCAGCTAAAACTGCTGTCTCTGTGACCCTGGGCAGCGATTAACTCTTGCAGGCTTGCAGACTCCTGGCAGGGGGATGTGTAAAAGTTTGGGGGTGCCTAATGATCCACAGGGCTAAGCCAAGACCCTGGAAAGTCAGGGCATCTCTTCCCTGCTGTGAGCCAAGATTTGTAGGAGCCAGGTACAGCCTCGCCCTCCAGTGTCTTTACCTCCTTTATGCTTCTTGTCTGTCCTCAGGTCTTCTTCACGTTCCCCCAGCTATTCCTCCAAATCCTGCAAAAGAAGTCCTGGGAGCAGGAGTTCAAGACTTCGTCGGAGCCCCAGTTACTCCCGCTACAGCCCTAGCAGGTACAGTTGTCTCGTCACGTGCTATCTGCTGTGTCACACGTTCCCACTGCCTCCATCACTTGTCTGTACTCCGGCACGGTTGCTGCCTCCTGCCAGCTCCAAACTGCTCCCTCAGCTTCTTCTCTGAGTGCTTTAGTCCTCAGCTCTGGGGTGAGAGGGAGCAGGCAGTGAGCTGTGGGGCTGTGTTTTATGCTAGCCCTCAGTCCAGTGGAAATTTCTCATGTTTACTGCCCCCGAGCTGGTGCTAGTTGCAGTGGGAAGAGTCCAGAGATGAGCTTTCCAATTTCTGTGGGAAAAGCTTATTTCCTGTAGCCAAGGACTGCTCTCCGTCAATTCAGGGGAATTTCACACAAAGCACTTTAGGGGGTAAATTGCTGGGAAGGAGACGTGCTTTATCCCTTGCTTTGAAGCATTGTGGTATCTCACACTTGGAGTGGGTGGCAGGTGAAGCAGCTTTTCCTCCGCTCTGAGCCCTTGCGGGGGACACGTGATGCAGCCGAGAGCGCACAGATGGCTGCTCAGCGACGCTTGCCAGGGTCTCCTCATGCGAGTGGGAGATGCCTCAGAGGGAAACCCAGGGGGTGCCCCTCTCTGTCACGCTGGTGTAAATGGTGAGCAGAGCATTAGGCTCTGGTTGGTTCTCCCCACAGTTTTCATCACCTGAGGAGCCCACGCCAGCTAGCGGGGCTGCAGCCTTGTCAGAGAGGGATCTTAGTGCTGGAGGGAAAGTCACTCTGCTTTTCAGAGTGGCAACTCTGCCCAAGAGTTGTCCGGCTCTGGGAAGTGTCCTCGCTGTGTGGGCAGGTGCCAGGTACCCTTGTACTGGCACTCACACAGCCTTGCAGGAGGAAACGCGGTCTGGGTAGCTCCACTCCTTCCACACCCTATAGAAAACACACATCTAGCAGCTCAGCCCTGCCGATGCCTTTGGGCAGGTTTTTCTGCTATCATCTTTGTTGCTGTGAACATTTTGCACCCTTCGAATGCTATGTTCCCAGGGTCTGATTCTTGCAGGCTGTGAAAATCGCTGCACTGATGTAGGAGAACCCTTCCTGCGCACAAGGATCAAGCCCTTGACCTGTAGCACGTAGCTTTACAGATGGCATTGAGCAGGGCGTGTGAAGTCAGCCACACTCCACAGAAGAGCCTGTGCTGACATGTATGGGGATTTAACAACAGAGAAAACCGTAGCAACACTGGCACTGCTCCTGGCAGGCCGTGCAGAGCTGCACAGCCCTGCAGGAGCACTGGGGGCCCTCTGCTCCGGTGTAGGGCCCACTGGCAGAGTTGTTCTCACCTGCTTCTGCAGCACAGCCCGCAAGAGCGGTGTTAGCAGAGCTAGGTACAGAGCACAGGCATGGGTACATGAAGCCATCTTAGCTTGGGCCACCAGGAGATATTGTGGAAGCCCCAATGCAATTAGCAGGTGTCCATCTGTCCAGCCAGATGAGTGTCTCTCTGTCCAGCTCAGTGAGTGTGCGCAGGGCTGATGCCACTGGACCACTTTTCTTAGAGTGGTCCTTTTTAGACCTGAGTGTCCTCTGCTCACCTGCGCCTCCACACCCAAACCCCAGCCCACAACAACCCAGCAGTGACAGTTTCCAGTCGGTGCCTTTCCCAGGGACCGCGAGAGAGAGCACAAGTACAGCTCCAGCGAGAAGGAGGCACACAGGGAGCGTGACCGGCAGCGGCACCGACGGTCCTATTCCCCCCTGAGGAAACGCAGGAGAGACTCTCCCAGCCACCTCGAAGCTCGGCGCATCACGAGGTGAGAGGATGTGGTCCCATCGTTTGGAGACAGGCACTCCCCAGGGGCTGTGAGCTGTCCTTGGGTCTCAGCCCTTGCCAGCAGAGGTTTCTCTGCAAGGAGACAGGTTTCCCTGAGACTTATCAGCAGGGCCTTCCACGCCTCCTAGAGCTTGGGGATTTCCAGCCAGAGGCAGAGGGAGGATGGGGGGGGATCCTCATTTGCCACATCCGAAGAAAAAAGGCAGATGGAATCAGAGCAGGGACTCACCCATCAGGTACTGGGAGCATCCCCCTCCCAGCTTTTGTTTCACTGTCTCATGTGGTAGATGTCCCACGCCATAGTTAGTCAAATGTTGACTCTGTGCTTCTCGCTGAGGGCACTTTGGGACAACACGAAGCAGAGCCCAGCCTCGGACTTGATGTCTGAGACATTCCTCAGGGACCTGGGGGTGGATGGTTTGAATCCCAAGGCATGTCAGCTACCTGATCCCATTCTTTTTTTTTTTTTCTTTTAAACAAACACAATCACATTTTTATGGAGTGTTGTACGGGGTAAACAGTGCTTTTTGTTGCTTTTTGGGCAGTATCCTTGTGTTGCCGGTAACCCAGGTCTCTCTGTCCCTGCAGTGCCCGCAAACGCCCCATCCCCTACTACCGTCCCAGTCCCTCCTCGTCCAGCAGCGCCAGCAGCTATTCCTCCTGGTACAGCAGCTTTAGCCGCTCCCCGAGCCGGAGTCGGAGCTACTCCAGCTACCGGACGAGCCGGAGCCGAAGCCGGGGCAGCAG